ACTGTGCTTTTTCTTTCTGAAATTGCAGCTCTAGCAGTTGTGAATTGTCTTTGCCTACTAAAATTTATCTTGCTTATGTCTATGAGTATTACCATTATACAGTAAGCAAATATATTTGTTTTATTATTCCCTCTAGTGCAGTATCATCATGAGCTTTTACATAAGCCTGCAATTTAAATTGTCACTGTATTCTTATCTACAAGTAAATATTTTATTATACTTCCATATTTGTAAAGGTTGTCTTTGACAAATATGTATTAGTATGTACCATTATGATACATGTGCATTTATGTGGCTTATCATTTTATGTCATTGATGATAATTCATTTTGGATACTTTTATTTAAAGCACAAAATAAACTAAAGTGGAACTAGGACACTTTAAAATAAGGTGGGGGGGGGGACCCTGCTGTTTTCCTTTCTAACATTTGCTTAGATAGGAAGAATATCATTATATTGGAAGATAACTAAACAAAGAAAGATGCTGAATGAAAGAACATTAAAGAACAAAGAAAAAAACTTCAGAGAACATTTAGCTATTCTCATTCTTTCGCTCTCCTTCACCCCACCTCTATATATAGTTGCCCATCTTACAAAAACGTACTCTGGGCATAGTTACCCATCTTTCAAAAAGCTATTGCCAGTCTTAATAGAAGTATGGTTTCCTCCTGGATGTTTCCTTGATTAAGGTTTTACTTCCTCCCTGATTGTTTATTTGGCGGTATTTCTTACTTCTGGCGGTATTGGCTTCTGGAGGATGTGTAATCTAGGCTATTCTTTTTGGTTCTATCCTTTAAGTGGTATTTAAAGGGGTTTATTTCTGTGTATCTGCTGACAACTGATTTGTCTGAAAGCCAAGCTACCACAATTCCTTAGCAGTTTTAGATTTGGCTTCATCTAAAAATTTAAATTTCTGGTTGAGACTCTGGTTGAGCTATTCATATGTTGCAGAAATGGAGTTTTTAATCATGTTTTTCTGCTGCCAGTTGATGTTTATGGGTACAGTCTGGCAGTCTTCTACCTTTCTGTCCCATGTAGTGATAGTTATAGTCCTAACATTTTATGTGGGAAATGACTCCTGTTTTTTCTTTTTCAATTATTTGCTTTGTGTATTTGCTTCAGGAATAAGCAAGATTCTTGTTTCAGTACTATGTGCCAGTAGATAAATGTCTTTAAAAATCTTTCTTTCTTTCTTTCTTTCTTTCTTTCTTTCTTTCTTTCTTTCTTTCTTTCTTTCTTTCTTTCTTTCTTTCTTTCTTTCTTTCTTTCTTTCCTTCCTTCCTTCCTTCCTTCCTTCCTTCCTTCCTTCCTTCCTTCCTTCATTCATTCTGAGAGTCACTCCCACTTATTGAAGAGAAACACGGCTTTCTTTTTCAAAATGCTGATTAGAAAATCCTGAAAGTTAAACCTCCTGAGGTCTTATTATCCAGCCAATTTCACGCTTGCATGTTGAGTTCAGTTGAAATTGGAGTGTGCAAAACGATGTGGAAATTGGAACCATGGAGTTTCATGGCTACAGTGTAGGGTACTTTCTATCCAACGAGTGACTGCTTTTTGATTCTTTAAACTGAAAGCTCTCTTTGAAATCAGTGGGATGGTTGAGGCTGTGAAAATAGCACAGGCTTAATGCATTTTTTCTGCTTATCTATTATCACATTTTAAATTTTGCTGTTTGAAATAGTTCGATGGGAGGTATAGATACATTGTAACCATCAACAATTGAAAAGTAGTTGGTTTCTTTTTCATTAGGAAGATAAATAATATCATATATGGTGGCCAGGCAGCAGCCAACATAAAACTATTAGTAAAAATATTGATTTATTTATCTTAGGAGTAACAAACATTGAGATATTATTTGAAAAATGGTTCTTATTCTTGCAGTATACAGATTCATCAATCAATCAGAAGGGACCTTGAAGGTCTTGTAGTCCAACTTCCCTGACTCAAGCTATACCATTTCAGACAAATGGCTTAAAAATCTCCAGTGATGAAGCACCCACAACGTCTGGAGGCAAGCTGTCCCACTGATTAATTGTCTTCACTGTTAAGAAGTTTCTCCTTAATTCCAGGTTGTTTATCTCCTTGATTAGTTTCCATTCATTGTTTCTTGTCCTGCCCGCTGGTGCTTTGGAGAATAGGTTAACCACCTCTTCTTTATGGCAGCCCCTTAGATAGTGGAACACTGCTATTGTATCACCCCTATTCCTCCTTTTCATTAAACTAGATGATTTTCAATTTCAAGAAAGGTCTAGGTATATTTTTTAAAACATACAGTGTAGGACTTAACTCTTAACTCCAATTTCCAATGCTGAGATCCTAATCCAGATCGGATCCCTTTCCCTTTTTCTTTTTTTTTAATTTAAAAAATAAACTTTGTTAAACATTAAAAAATATATACATAATACAAAACATTTCATTAAATACAAAACCAAAAAAGATAAACATAACCAATAAACATAAAACATAAACATTTCTAATTGCTTAGATGGCATTCTTATCAAACAATTTTCCAATACTTATTTCCCATATCTGATAAATACTCCTACCATAACCTCTTTATATTTTCCCTTCCCTATCTATTTACCGCTGGTTTCTATTCTTTATCCAATTACACCAGTTTTCCCAAACTATAATATTTTGAGCCTTCATTATCTTTTTAACTTTTGGGTGAATTTATCCATTTCCGCTCAGTCATAGATCTGGATTATCAGATTCCCTTCCCTTCTTGATAGCTTTTATTATAACCTGTGAACGTCTTTAGTCTGATTAATTGATCCATTTGATCTGCTCCTGCTTTTAATGTTTGTTTATTGTAAAGACCACCTTTGGTATGTACGTGCTATTATTGTAAAGACCACCAGTGGTATGTACGTGCCATTTTATATTTAATGACTACTCTAGTTGTGCAGGTAGTCCTTGAATTACAAGCATTCATTTAGTGACCATTCAAAATTACAATGCATTCAAAAAAACGACTTACAACTATTCCTCGCACTTAATCACCCTTATCATCCCCATGATTATGTGATAAAAATTTGGATATTTGTCAACCAGCATGTACTTATGACTGTTGCAGCATCCTGGAATCATGTGATCACCATTTGAAACCTTTTCCAGCCAGCTTCTGAGAAGCAAAGTCAACGGGGAAAGCCAGATTCACTTAACAACTACATGATCCACTTTACTTCAGTGATTCACTTAATAATCACTGGCAAAAAGTTTGTAAATTGGGTGCGACTCACTAAACATACACCTTGCTTAGCAACAAAAATTCTGGTCTCAATTATGGTCATAACTCGAGGACTACCTATATTTTCCATTTGGTCAAAACAAAGTAGAATACAGAATATACATGAAATCAAGAAATCAATGTGCTTTACAGTTAATAACTTAGAAAGTAAAAACCTTTTGGAAAGAGTAAATATTTAAGAGCAAATTTGGAATGTGGGTATGGTGGATGAAAAGATAGTTTTCTGGGAAGGTAAAAGGTAACAGAATTGTGTTAATGTAAACTCTATTTAGCGGTATTTTTAATCTCATCTAACTTTTTTGGCTTTCTATATTTCCTTACTTTCTGGGCTTTGAATAACTTTGTTAGTTGACAAGGAATAGGATATTTTTATATTTTCAGAAGTATGGGTACAATTGGGATTTTTAAAAAAATGGTATTAAGCTTCTTTTAGGAATTATGCTATGATTTCTACATCCCCCTCCCCTTCTTTCTTAGGCTTCATGGCAACCTTGCTTCCTCTGGCTACTGATAGCTCTCCCCAGCTGCCCCCATCCCCAATATGGTAACTAAGACGGGAAAGGGGCAAAAATCATGGTGACCTTTATTTCTTCCACTCCCCTTTTTGGGACCCAGCAGCAACACCAGCATCAGTAGCAAAGGTTGTGCAGGAGCTGGGCTCAGATGTCTCAGCCAGCCGCTCATCCTTCTCTTTCTCCTTTTCACAGAGCCCCCAGTGGCCTTGGCCCCACCTGAGGGAGACACTAAAGAAGTAGGCAGGCCAGCCGGCAATAGTCAAGGGTGAAGGCAGCTTCCCCCACAGAGGTGATAGCAGGAGAGATACCGGGGCAGCAGTCAGGAAAAGAAAATAGGGTTCCAAATTTATTTGAATGGGGGTGCTGTCAAGGAAGGGGTGGGGTGCAGAGGGCCAGAAAGAGACCCAGATGGTTGGGGTGGGCCAATCCCTCATCATCTCCAAGACAGACCTCTAAATGCATGGCAGGCCTGTGAGCCTTAAGTATGATATTTATATATATTAAGTATATATTTATATATATTAAGTATAATATGTCTGCTGTATAATGTCTGTTTGCCATCTTGAGTCACTTATAAAGTAATAAAGGCAGGATAAAAGTATAATAAATAAATAAATTTTACTGGAACAATAGGACATTGTAAATAATACAGGTTGATGCAGGATCCAATCTGGGCCTATCACCGGCACCAGAGGTTTTGTCTTTCAATATTTTGGACTCGTGCTGGAGCTCATCTTCAGGGAACTTGTCTCTAGCACCAAGTGCATGGTATTTCTACTATCTGTTGTATGTGACTTTTTAGATGTTGATTGAGGTGTATTGACGGCTGGCTTTTTAATACAGGTTGATCATCACCCCTCTACTAACGTATCTCTAGTTAAATTTAGTGGACCTTGCTTTTGAATACGTACACACAATATCACATTGCAAGTTATCTTTCAATGAAGTACATTACATTTTGTAAAGTATTTAAAAAGCTGAAGTCAATTTTATATGTGCTGTAGCAATTCTTTTTAAATAGAAATTATCTTTTGTATTTTGTTTTGGGAGACCCATATCCTTTTGAAGTTCATATCCATTTTCAGATTTACATATTTATCTGAAACTTTGCTGTTGTATTTATTGTGACTTTCTTATTGGTCGTAGCTTCAGCTTTATTAATAATATCCTTATATAATGCTCCAGTTGTTTTGTACATTTTTTAAAATCAGTTTTTGTTTTTCTTCTCCTTTGTAGAAACTCTTCTGGATGACTTCCTCCTTACATACACAGTGTTCATGACAACAGATGACTTATGTCAAGCTCTGCTGAGACAATATCCTTCTCTATAGACTAAGAGGGAATCATTCATTCAGGCCTAATTGTATCGAATGATTTTTATACATTAGATAAAAGACAAATCTACACAGCTTCTTTGCCCCTGTTAAGGAGAATTTATTAATCATTGCAGTAGATACATCTATGTACCACTGCTTAATCTCAATTTTCATACAACCATGCAACCTCTCCTCACCCGTAGACCCCACTGTGCCCCATGGTTTATAGGGGAATTGAAAGGGATGAAATGTATGAGGAGACGTTTAGAGCACCGTTGGCGGAAAACAAGGGATGAACTCGACCAAACACGGGTAAGAGCTGCTAGTAAGGCCTATCTCGTGGCGATTCGTGTGGCGAAGTGTACATACTTCTCCATACTAATTGCATCTGCAGATAATCGCCCAGTGACCCTCTTTAAGGTGAGCTGCATTCTCCTGGAGAAGGAGGAGATTGAGGTCTACCTGAAGGGATGTGCTGAAGAATTTGTGGATTTTCTGGAAGACAAAATTGCTCAACTTCATTCCCAGTTAGATGCCAGCATGGTTGCTGGTCTGGTGGAAGTCCCTGAGGCAGGCTCTTGCCCCATTATTTGGGAACAGTTTGATCCTATTCTCCGAATGGAAATGGACAGGATCCTAGGGAGTATGCATGCAAGCCTATGTTTTAGACCCATGTCCCTTCTGGCTCGTGAAGGCTTCCCTGGAGGTGACAGGCAGGTGAACTCTGGCGGTGATTAATGCTTCCCTACAAGAGGGGGTGGTGCTTCAAGTACTTTAAGGAGGCTATGGTCTATTCTCTTGTTAAGAAGCCTTCACTGCCTTCACCCAGTTGGACTTCACCCAGTTGGACACTGGACTTAACCGGTTGGACAGTTTTAACTTTCATACAGAGTTAATGGAAGGACAGGTGTAGCATTACAAAATAATTTACTCCAATCTGCCCTTTTGGGGGAAGGTTGTTGAGAAGGTGGTTGCGCAGCAGCTCCAGAGGTTTCTGGATGAAATGGATTATCTAGACCCTTATGAGTCAGGATAAAAGGCCTGGTTTTGGGACAGAAATGTCACTGATCACACTCTTTGATGACCTCTGATGGGAACGGGATGGGGGTAGTGTATCCATCCTTGCTCTACTTGACCTCTCGGTGGCTTTCAATACCATTGACCATGGTATTCTCCTGGAATGGATTTGGGGGATGGGAGTGGGTGTGCTATCCTGATTCACTTTCTTCCTCTGCAGCTGCTCTCAATCAGTGCTGATAGGAGGGAAGAGATCCAAGCCTCGCCCACTGCTTTACAGGGTTCCACAGAGCTCGGTACTCTGTTCAACATTTATATGAAGCTGGTGGGTGAGATTATCCCCCACCATGGACTGAGGTATCACCAATATGCTGATGATACTCAGCTGTATGTCTCGGCCATGGTGAGTTAAGTGATGTGATGTCCTCCCTCTCACAGTGCCTGGAGGCTGTTAGGAGTTGGATGGGGAGCAACGGGTTGAAACTAAACTCTGGCAAGACTGATTGGCTTTGGGTTTGGGGCTTGTTGGCTAAGGGAAAATTCCCATCTTTGGTCCTGGATGGCGTGGCATTACCCCAAACAGATCCTGTGCTTAATCTGGAGATTCTCCTGGATTCATGACTCCTGCTTGAAGAGTAGGTGATGATTACAACCAGGAGGACCTTCGCGCAACTGTGGGTTGTGCCAATTAAGCCCATTCCTGGACCAACAATCCCTACTCACAGTCACTCATGCCTTAGTCACTTTCCATCTTGACTATTGTGATGCACTCTACATGGGGCTGCTTTTGAAGAGCATCTGGAAACTCCAGTTGATGCAAAATGCAGCAGCCTGCACAGTTTTGTGCAGACCCTGGTGTGCACATGTATCACCTCTCCTGCAGGAGCTGCATTGGATGCTGATTTGCTTCTGGTGCAATTCAAGGTGCTGGTTGTCACCTTTAAAGCCCTTCATGGCTTGGGACCGGGTTATCTGAGGGACCGTCTCTTGCTGATCACATCTATCTGACCCATCAGAACGGGGAGGCAGGGAACGTTGCGATCCCATCCTTGAGGGAGATACACCTGGTGGGATCCAGAAGAAGGTATTTCTCCATGGTGGCCCCTCCCTCTGGAACATCATTTCCCCAGAAATTAGACTGGCCCCACTCTGATTCTCTTCTGGAAGGCATTGAAGACCTGATTCTGCCAGTGGGCCTGGGGAACCCAGACTAGCATGGAGCCCATTAAATGGCTCATGTAATCTGCTGTTGCTGGGGGGAGGTGGGGGGTGAATTTACTATATTAATTTATTTGATTTTATGAGTTTTATTGTTTTTAAATTGTGGTTCTACTTGTAGTAAGCTGCCTTGAGTTGCCACGGCAAATAGGCGGCAGTACAAATCTAATTAATAAATAATAAAATAAATAATATAGCCATTACTTTAATTTCAACATAGCCTAATAGCATTTGAGAATTTCACTGGCAGTGTTATATTAAATATAGCTTTAATTTAATAATTTAAGATCAAATATAAATTATTTATTAATAAAGTTTATATGCTACCCATCTCACTGTATAAATCATTCTGAAAAGCTTGTACTGATTCTTTAATGGTGTTTTTGTTTAATTATATTTGTCTTTTATTTATTTTTATCATTTCTGTATTAAGAAAAAAAACAAGACAACCTAGATTAATACTTAATGTTTGGGAAATTACAATCCCTTGCAATGTTCTGTTTATCCGAGATAAGATGGAAAACGCTTATCCTGATCTTAGAGGGAAGATGGAATGAAAATGTAAAAAAAAAGCTATATATAAATAAAAGATGAGAAAAAATTTTAGATTTTTTTTTTTAAATGTATATAGGAAATGCTACTATCTTTTGTATTTTAAGCTTTAGCTTCCAACAAGAGACAGCTCTTTCCATCCAATACTTAGTATGTAAGAAAGATTTTTGTTTACTAAATTTTAGCTTCTGACAAGAGATAGTTGCTTTCACATATTACTTAGTATACAACAAATATTTCACCTTAATTTGCCTCCACTTATTGTGCTAAGAACCATCAGGACAAGGATGAAATCATTGATGTTCCCTGCAGAAAACGAAAAGTCTTGCATTTAGTGTCCCAGTGGACTTCACTCTACAAAGACTGGTTGCATGAAGATGAGCATTTGAAGCAGTTTCTTATGGTATGTTTATTTAGATACTTTCTGATACAGAACAGTAATTATAAATTTTTAAAAATCCAAAACCATTCCTTAGTCTATGCAACCTGCAATAGTATACTTGAAGTAAACTCATTTATTGGATATAGGATCAGCATTTATAACGCGTTACCTCTTGAAAGTTCTACTGGGTGCTTCTAGATGAAGAATACATTATTCTAGATGAAGAATAACTGCTCTTCTGTTATGATCTAAAAGTGCATAATTAACTTAGATTCCAGAATTCAGAGAATCTAGTGTTCTAATAGTGGGTTATTATATAATGTCCATGGAGTGGTCACAAAATCCTTTACTTTTTCTTAATTTTTCACAATGGAAAAAGGTAGCCTTACATACAAAAAACAAGATAGAATAATAAATCTTGACCGGTTGTGGAAAGCATATAGATGATAAATTAGTTGTCATAAAATTTGATTGATTATGTGCCATTAAATTAATAGCTGCTCTTAGCAACTACGTATAAAGATTTTCTCCAAGACAATCTGTCACCAACTTGCCCCCTCAGATCTGCAGTAACTGAGTCCATCTATCTTGTTGCTGGTCATCATCTTTTTCTGTTTCCCTCTTATCTTTCCCACCATTATAGCCTTCCTCAGTCTCCTGTGTATTTCCTTTTGTGTTAGTAGGTGATTCTAAAAGGCAAAAGCTGTCTATCACTTTGGTGTTTCCATTGTCAGTTATTCAGCTGGTTTCTTGCTTGCTCTTCTTTATACTTAATCATGTACCATTTTTCCACCACACTCCTTGACTTTTATTACTGGAGCATTCAAATAACTTGTATTTTAAGCTATCAGAATACTGGCATCATTATAACACAATTATTGAATTCCTTTCTCCAATTTTAAAGCAACATTAATCTTTCTCTAATTCAGCTTTCTTCAGTATATGTTTAGTATATAGGTTGAATGAATGAATAAATAAAGCTAAGCAGCAGTGTTCCACTTCTTTGCCAATCTGCAGCCAATCTTTTACACCATGATGCTATCTGATTGTGCCTGGACTCACATTCTCTGCCTTAAACCACTACACCAACTGACTCTTTAAAAAAAATACTTGAAAGCCCTCTTTCCAACCTGAAAATCTTAACATGAAACATTTCTGAAGTATTGCTTTAATAGAATTTGCAAAAAAGTGTAGCACATATTTATTTGATTCTTTCTCCTCCCCCTTTTCTCTTAACTTCCCCTTTCCTTAGACAATATATAGAAATGTGTTAGATGATGTGTATGAATATCCTATATTGGAGAAAGACCTGAAAGAATTTCAGAAATTACTCGGAATGCATCGTCGTCAGTAAGTTTTTTTTTTGTCCTATTTTGTATTTCTTTCTTTAGGGTGTTATAATTAGTTTTTTCATCATTATAACTGGTTTTTTTGTAATATCAAGTATTCCGGTTTCAAGTATTTAATGTTTGTATAGGAAGCACTGATTTTGCATAATTTACAAGAGAATAACTTGAAATAATAGGTTTGATACACAAATGTTATTGCAATCTAATAGCCCATAGTATTGTAAAAAGGTTCGTTAATGGAGCTGTTGGATTAAAAATAATTAATAACAGCATAAGAGGTAGAGAGAAGGCAGTTTGAACAGATTTTTACTATATGGCACAATTTTTTTTCCTGCAAGAGTACTGGATAATCTGCATCAGTTTTGAGGTCTATTGTGCACAAATCTTATTTCTTGTCTCTTTGAAGCATGAGTACAATGAAGCAGTGGTTGCACAATAACTATTAACTTCATATTTTCGATGGAGTCAGTTGTTTTTTTGGTGTCAAGAGATTTATCCACGGACTTAAATCGACAGAATGTCGATTTGACATTTTAACAGAACTCAATATTCTTTTTCTTCCCATCGCACATAAACATTGCATTTATATAATTATTATACGAACACAACTATATTTGTTTAAATATAATTACATACTTTCATTTATATAATACAATTATTATAGAATTTACTATTAAATATTTTCAACTAAGAACTGACTGGCTGAAAATAATACTGCATAATATATAACATTTGATTTATTGTACCAAATAAATAGCACAGTATTGGAGGCATCTCTATATAGGGTTAGGGTTAGCTTTTATTTATGATTAGCTTTTATGTAGGTGATGAGTTTTGTGTAAACAACTGTTAAGAATATTGTTCCTACCAATGATTACTGTTACAACAATTGCTATTACAGATACTAGCTAATAACAACATATAGAATAAGTGATATCATTAGTCATATATGATAGTAACATAGCCAGAATCAGTGTGGTGTATTGTTAAAAGTGTTGAATTAAATGTGTGAAGATTGAACTTCTAGGCCATTAGATTCTATGCTGTTTTTTAGTAGAGATCTACACCAATACTGAAAACATTTTTATTACAAAAATGAATATTGTACATATTTTTCTTTCAGCACTGTAGATGAATATTCACCTCATAGAAAGGTAATAAGAAAAGATGCTAAAATTGTTTTAATTCTAATTTAGTAACTTCATGCCTTAGATTCTTTTAATTAATGAAAACAAACAGCCAAAATAAATAAATAGGCAAGCCACACTTTTCTGTTGGCATTGTTAAAACTGTTTGCTAATGATGTGACTCTGATTCGAACCATAGAAATGAAAAGATGTCTGTAGCAAAATTAAAGTGTAAAGCACATTAAAGCAAAATTGGTGTACATTGTGGAGAAACCACATAAATTTAAATAGATTCTAGACAAAGATATTGAATGCAAATGTTAGAGCAATGACAGAAAGAAATAGTATATATGTCTTTACCTATGTAAGTAATGTATCCCCAGATTTACATAATTGATACTAATTGATACATGATTGGTACTCTTCAGGAAAAAAGTATTTACTTATTTATTTAGAAAATGTATATGGTTGCACAATTCATTCCCAGTGATTCTGGGTGGTTTACAAAGATAAAACCCAAATACAACTCCCAGTACAAAAGCAAATAAATCACTCAATAAGTTCCCTATCACTTTAGGGTCCCCAGGCCTCTTGGCAGAACTACATCTTCAGGGATTTAAAAGACTGTCAAAGTAGGGGCCAGACTTATCTCTGCAGGGATGTGTATTCCATGGGAGGGAGCCATTAGGGAGAAGGCTTCTTGATTTCACTAGATGGATCTCTTTCGAAGAGTGGACTTGTAATATTCCCTGCTTCCTTACTCTGAAGGATAGGGTAAATATGACTGAGAAATAACTGTCCTTCAAATAACTTGATCCCAAGCCATCTAAGGCTTTAAAAGTGACAGCCAGCACCTTGAATTGGGCCTGGAAGCAAATCAGCAGCCAGCGTGGTTTCTGCAAAAGTGATGACATATGTACAGATCTTGGCTTGCACAAAGCCACCTCATTTTGAACCAGTTGAAACTTCCAAAATATTTTTAAGGCCAGCCCCTTGTTGAGCGCATTTGTAGTAGTCATGGGAGGTTACTAGGGTAACTGTGAACCATTTTTCAAATATGAATTCAATCATTCCAGAACTGGGGGGCCTTTGCTCCTAGTTACCTCTTATTTGGATTATTGCAACACTCCCTACATGGGGCTGGCCTTAATAAGTATTTGGAATATTCAATTGGTGCAAATTGAGGCTGCACAAGTAGTTAATGGTGCCGGTTATCCACCATGAGTAAAACCACTACTATGGGAGCTGCATTGGCTGCTAGAATGTTTCTAGGTGCAATTCAAAGTGTTGGTTGTCACATTTACAATGCTACATAGCTTGGGAGTAGGGTACATAAGGGAATGTTTTCTCCCAATAGTTTCTAACCATCCAACTCAGTCTAATAGATTGGCTGCAGGTCCCATCAGCCAAGAAATGTTAGCTAGTAGGGGGCAGGAGTTATATCTTCTTTGAGTAGCCCATGCCCTTAAACATCCTTCCTTTGGAGCTTAGGATGGCCCTGACCATGTTAGTTTTTTGCAAGGCTTTAAAGATCTGTCTATGCCCTGAATCTAGGTTCCCAAATATGTTAGGGGCTTTATTATCTGGTTGCACTGCCAATTTTTATGTAATTATTATGATAATTTTCTGTTGCCTATACATATAATTTGTAATCATTTTTTCTTTTATGTTTTTAACTATTGTGACACTCTCTACCTGCAGTAAATTGGATTGAGATTGGCAGCTATGGAAATGGAATGAATGAATAAATAATAAAATAAAAGTATCAGAAGCAGAAAAGGTTTTGTGAATGTTCTCATCAAATTTATCCCTCTCTCGCTCTGTATTCCTCTTTACGTCTCCTGTTTTCCATGAATAGAATGTGATTAGTTTATTCAGGAAAACTGTGCATAGACATTTTTCTTTGTTTCCTTTTTTAAAACATCCAATAATTTTGGCATTCTTTTTTTAAAAACTCTCTATAGCATAAAGCCATTTTACATCAATACAGCCTCAAGCAGAACTGGCTTCAGACTAAAGAATCTGTGAATGAAACAGAAGAAGGTAAGTATGAATGAAACACAAAAAGAAATAAATATCGTATTAACAGCATCTGCTATTTGGATGGAAAAGAAATTGATTCCTATTCCAACTTTTCCCTCATCCTTCCAGCCACAATCCAATGTCCTTGTCGAGTTAGGTTGATTCTGTTAAATGCCAGGCTTGTGATCTTGTCTCTCCACATGACCAATATAATTGAAAATTGGTTTGAGTTGAACAGTGATGAATGATACCTTTACCTCAAATCTTGCCAATTGGATTTTGGATAGTATACCAATCTTTACTACGTATGGGAGAAGGAGTGCCATTGCAATTCTTCAAGAATTTGTTTATTTCTGCTATGACAACTATGGCCTTTTCCCAAGGCATCACAACTTAACTCAACATTGAAGGCCACACATTTGATAAGGTGTTCATTTTGGAACAATTATACGGTCTGTAGGTGGAAGGCATTATCAACTGTGCTGTGTCATAGTTTTTCTGGAAAGATAGTCTTGTTAGATTGGCCCCAGGCACTGAACTGATTTGGCTTAAAACAGGGCTTTTCCAGTGACCTATTGTTGTGTCCATTTGGCTTCTACAAGTTTGTTTATATTTTAATGCAAAGTATTGCCACTTTGCAGTTTCAGATAATCTAAATTCTTGTAATACTTCACTTGTTTCAAAGAAAGAATTAAGAATATAACAGCCTCTCATAGTTTTGCCCAAGTACTTTTAAAGATGTATTTATCTAAAAATGTCAAATTACAATTATCTCAAAAATATAAATGTTATTTGTGTTCTGGGATCCATCTTAAACTTCCACCCTAAAATCTTCCAGATGTATCTTTCAGTCTTTAATAAATGAATTTGTTTAAAGGACAAATCAAGTAATAATTGTTAGTTGTGCTCAAATGGTTTCTGAGAAAAGAACCCACTTGTAGTTCACACTTATGTAGACATATACACAAACATTCTTAAAATATAAGACAAATGCAAAACTTGAAAATCCATAATTTTTGCAGCATAAGACTCTGGAATTTAAGATGCACATAGCTTTTGGGGAGGAAAACAAGAAAAAAAAATTGCCTCCCAGCAATTTGCCTCCTTGCAGCAAACAGCCTGGTCAGCTTCAGCACAGCCTGATTTACCATGAGCAGCTGATTGGTGGTTGGATTGGCCTCCCAAAATACCGCTGATCATCTATTCCAGGATGCAGGGATTGCCACCGCTAATTGCTGCCTCCGTGCGCTCGATTTTTGGCCTCCACATGTCATTCCAGGCAGCACCGTTGATCTGGAATGAGCCGAATATAGTGGAGGCCAAAAATGGGGGAATGTGAAGGCGGTGATGGGCAGCGGTGATCCCCACAGCTTGGAACAGCTGATTGGTGGTATTCTGGGAGGCTGACCCAACTGCCAATTAGCTGCTTGTGCTAAATCAGGCTGTGCTGAAGCTGACCAGGCTGTTTGCTGTTTGCTGCAAGGAGACAAATTGCTGGGAGGCAGAGACTGAAGAGTGGGGGCAGGCAGGTGGGTGGGGCTTAAGCAACATTCTCTCTATAAGATGCACAGACATTTCCATCCACTTTTTGGGGGGAGGAAATGTGCATCTTATAGTGTGAAAAATTTTCCACCTTTACATATACAGATAGTATACATATATACAAGATAGAATAACAAATGGGATAATTCCACCAAATAAAAGTTAGTACTTATGAGGGATAAGATTCCTCTTTATGTTTGTGATTATGCATGTGTTTAAGTTGTATTTAATAAGTTGTATTTATTTTAATAATGTTTCATTTTAAATCCATAGGAATATTGGCCATTGGTATCATTATTAATTTGTGTACAAGACTACAATATTTAAATTAGCAACTATATGTTTTATTAGGAATATTCCTACATATTTATTCATGAAAGAGACAATTTTTTAAAATTTCAAAAATTCTATTAGGTTCAAACCACTAGGCCAATGGTTCCAAATCTACATTAAATACAAGAGAAGTTAAAACGTATCTTTGATAACATTCACAAAATATGGGTGAAGTAATAATTCCTTTTATAATATAATAATTTGAAAAGTACACTCTCTTTGAATTCTATGGTTTTAAATATCAGGAAATAATAAAAATCATCTGGTTCATACCAGTTCTTAAAATTAGGTGAAAACAACCTCAGATGAATAACAGGATTACATGATGACTTATTATTCCAGGTCATCATTTGTTTTACAGAAATTACAGCTGCTGTACTCTGATCTTTAAGCAGATTCACTTTTCCAAATCCAAATCCTACAGTACCTGTAATTTCCTTTATCAAAAAATGACAGGCAAGCCATCCAGAACAGTGCGATCCTTAAAGTTTTTATATCTTTCAATAAGAATTCCTTTTGCTGATGGAATGATTTTCCTCTGTTTGCAGTTTTTTGCCGTGTATATATAACACAACATTCTTACATCAGTGTAAAAACTAAATTATCCACTTCAGTTCAAGAGATTTTGAAAATTGTAGCAGAGAAGCTCCAACATTCTCAGGAAGATCTGGCTTTAGTAGCTCTTTCATTCTCTGATGGTAAATGATTTTCAGCTATTAATATTCTAATACTATTTTTAGTATCTTATCTGTAAATTATTTTCTAGTGCAGATGTAGGTCTCCTCCAGTGGTCCACAGCTGGATGGCCAAAGTTACAATAAAGAGCTGTTCAGCAGAAAGTAGTTTCCATGACAACTGCTAATACTTTAGTTCTGTTGTGTAATACATTCCACTTCGTTTCTACATTGAAAAAGATTTTACTCCTTCAGAAACATGTTGTAAGATTTCCATTTACAGATAATGGTAGACTGTAAGGTTTGCAATTTAAAACTGTATAACAAAAATGCACTCTGGAAAATGGTTTCTAATTTGAAGTAATCAAATGGTATTTAGACATAAAGGCAAATTGTGGGAAATATTTCTTTTAGAAAATGAATGTTTTCTAAATATAATCCTTGACTTATGACTACAATTGAGTCCAAAGTTTCTGTTGCTAAGTGAAACATTTGTTAAGTGAGTTTTGCCTCATTTTATGACCTTTCTTGCTCCAGTTGAATCACTGCAGTCCTTAAGTTGGTAACACAGTTATCAAATGAATCTGGCTTGCCCATTGACTTGGCTTGTCAGAAGGTCTCAAGCATGATCCCAGGACACTGCAACTGTCAAACGCGAGTCAGTTGCCAAGCATCTGAATTTCGATCATGTGATCATGGGAATACTGCAATGGTTGTATATGTGAAAAATGGTCATAAGTTATGTTGCAACTTTGAATGGTCCATTAAATGAAGTGTTGTAAATCGAGGACTATCTGTATTGAAAGTAATTTTTTTAAAAGTTTAAATTCTTAATTTAGACTTTAGATATCAATATGTAAAAATAAATTATATATTCCATTTTTTTAATTAAATAAGTCAAATTGCTTACTTTTTGAAGTAAATTATATAGCTCAGAAATACCCAGTCTTGATTTATTGATCATCCTGGTCCCAATATTATGGATTCAGAAAAGCTATAGTTATAAATGTGATATATTTAATCAAAATTTCTTACTATGATTCTTTTCTCTACTCTTAAAGAAAAACACGAATTGCGACCATATGATCTAGCAATCTCCAAATCTCTTGAGTTATCTGCTCGTTTGTTTGTATTTCGAAAGGATCTGACAGATACTTTGGTAAGTCTTTGTGGTTCTTGTTTTTAGATGACTTGAAGTTTTAAACTGCATTAACTGTATTACTCTCCTATAAACCCAGTATGAAGAGAGGCTAGGGAAATCATTAACTAGAGCATTTCTCCCCACACTTATGATCCTTCCAGGTACGTATATGGACTTAAATTTTACCATAAACTAAGCCATGTGGAGAATTCAGGGCCTGAATTAGAATACTATTAGTACAGCATGCTTGTTTAGGTCTTAGAAAAACAATTTACAATTTACTTCTAGTAAAATTTTATTGGTATGAAAAAATTGAGATGATTGCTTCAATATGGTCCTCATGTATCTTGTTGATTATTATTGTTTGTTTATATTTATATAGTTGCAAATATAGATATTTATCTTAATGTGTTCCAAATAAGACATAGGGTGCTGCTCTTAATATTAAAATTAATTAGAGGCCATCATGATTTCAATGCAAAAATATTTAAAACATTTCTTACAGCTAACTTTGCATTGTATATGCTTCTTTTTTTATCTGTGTGTCTTGATTTAGATCCCTTTTGCTGAAAATGAGGAAATCCACCAACGATCAGTGAAAATTCTGGGGATTAACACCTGGGACCTTGCTTTAGAATTAACAATTTTTGACTGGAATCTTTTCAATTTGGTTCATGAAGTAAGATGATGAATCTGCACACTAACTATAATCTGAGTTTTGTTTAGCTTTGATGAATCACAACATGTTTTCTCATGTAATTATTTATTTGTAATTATTTTGGGTCATTCCACAGGCTTATTGCCAAATGCAGGCTTTACTTCAAGGTTCCCCAATGTTTTTGGCTTTGTGGATTGGTGGGGGAGGGCAGAGGGTGGTTCCGTGACCATGGTGGGAAAATGTGCATATACACACAGTTCCATTTGTACAAATGGTGGGCATATTCACCTGCTGCTTGTGCAAATGGAGTGTATGTGCTTGCCCACTGCTTGTGTGAGTGGGGATGTGCACAAGCTCACCCACCACTTCCGCGGCCCAGTTCTGAAGGGCTCAAGGCCGGTAGTGCGCCATGGCCCAAGAGTTATATCTTTATTAAAAAAAGAAAAACAGATTTAATCCTGTTCTCAAAAGCATTTCAAACTGAAACCTGCAATGATTAATAGATATTAAGTCACAAACAATCTTATTATTACATTTTTATAGTTTTAATTAAAAAAAGTAATTGCCAAAATACTTTACTGTTCAAGTTAGTAATATGGGTTATCTGACTAAGCAACAATAATTACATTTTTCATATTATTAAATTCTAATTTGCATTTTACATTCTTTTAAACTGTCTTCCAGCAAGAACTGATATATTTCACCTTCAGCCGTCAAGGCAGTGGGAAAAACACTGTGAATCTTAGTCTTCTGCTTCAAAGATGCAATGAAGTTCAACTTTGGGTTGCCACAGAAATACTACTCTGCAACCAGCTCTGTAAACGTGTACAACTAGTGAAAAAATTCATTAAAATTGCTGCTCAGTAAGTTAAAAATTAAATGAATATTGATAGCTGGTTTCTGTTGAATCCACTGAACAAAAAGTAATGAAAGAAAATATTCTATAATTTGACTTTGCCCATTGAAATATGCATAGAAAAGCTATGCTTGATTAAAGAATTTTGTGCTGTATCCAAAATTTATTGCGCAGTGATAATTTCTTTACACTTCGCTATAGTTTCATTTGTTTATATATACACGATTTATTTCTCCAATTGCTTTTCTGTTTGGAACTGTACTTTTGTACATGTAGTGATTCTAAGCAAAGCCCTACTCAACTACCAAGCATTATTAAAAGTATATTAGTTTCATTTAATTTCCTTTAATTTCTTCATGGCCTATTTCAGTTGTATACAGAGGATATTAAAAAAAAATCTCTGTACTATTAAAATGTCAGGTTTTTATAATGTAAAAAATTAGATCAAAATAAATCATTTCAGAATTTTTTCCACCTTTAATATAAGTTACATAATTCAATTTAAAAACAAATCAAAACCTCCTAGGAGGAAAAGTAACAATAAATAACTTACAATGTTGTGGTTGCATAAGTATGCACACCCTTAAACTAATACTTACTGAAACATATTTTGTTATTATGAAGTATCCAGTATTTTGGAGTAGGAGCCTATCAATTTCAGTTTGAATTTTGAATTTTTATTGGTTGGAATTATCAAAATTATGGGGTGATTTTCAAAGAATGGAGCAGTATTTTCTTTTAAAAAATAAAGTTTAGAAAAAAATAACTTTGCATACATTTTATCTGAAAATAATGTATAAATTCAGTACTCTATTTTAAACAACAGAGGGATAAGTGACTTTGAATACCACAAGTAAATTACTTTTCTGATATTATTTCATAGCTGCAAAGCCCAGCGAAATCTGAATTCATTTTTTGCCATTGTCATGGGGCTCAACACTGCCTCTATCAGCCGACTTTCTCAGACATGGGAGGTAATATGAGAATTTTATTGTTTTACTTTTTTTCTAGATATTTATTTTTAATCATATTATTTTTCAGCAGTTTGATATATATGAAAAGAAAAGGTTTCACTTTAGTTCAAGCATGCATTATTAACTTTCTCATCATTATTACTGATATTGAAAGAAGATATTTAAGAAACCTCTTTTTAGGGAAGTAAATCCAAAACAAAATTTATAAACTGATTTGGAAGCTGATAATGTCTTTTAAGTTGTTTTTCTTTTAGTATGAGTTGCAAGACATGGAACTACCGTGGAAAATTCTACCCATTTAACAAAAGTTAATTCCTAGGAAGTTATACGACAAAACCTTACTTAAGATCTGTACATATAGATATTGTTAGTTAATTGTGTACACTATTACTATGATGAAATTTGGTATAACCAATGTAAGTTCAAAAAGCTTAATTGAACTCAGTTTATTGGAGAGGACAATTTTCTTGCATAAGGACTACCGGAGTCCCAAGTGTTTTCTAACATAATATTTCTGTATTTCTGCTGGATATTTCAGTTTTCTTGTAATTGTGCTGTCATTATTATTATTTTTTGGTTGAGAAAAATGCATTTGATAAATCTCATCATATAAATATAACACCAGTGATTTTCTCTTTAATATTCCAGTAAGCCTAATGTGATAAAATCAGTGATCATAGCATTCGCTCTTCAACAAAAGTGATCATGTGATGACAATCTTTTTCCTCTTCCTCTAAAGATAATATTAAATAAATGCAAATTCAAGTGCTTATAAGCAGTATTAAATAATACATATGAATTGTAACAAATTGTTATGTCACTCTCGAACGTTATTTGTTAAAAAAACTCTAAGAAAGATAGTACCAGGCAAAGTTTATGTCTTTAATATACTACAAATGAGTCACTGATTAAATCAAACGTTTAATTCCAATTCCAGTTTTTTAATATGCAATATTTTATTTCAGAGAATGCCTGGAAAGTTTAAGAAACTCTTTGCTGAACTTGAAAGTTTGACAGTAAGTTGGTTTTATGTAAAAGCCTTTAATTTTCTTATCTGTGTATTTTTGTTGCTAAATGGAAGCATTATTACATATTCTATTACTATATATCTATAATTATCTAACTTTTGATGTGTTGCACTTAACATGTAGCTTTTCACATATGTGATATATTTTAGATAAGAATATATACAATTTCACCTAGTTCTCTTTAAGAAACTGTTTCTGCCTTATTTTTCAAAAAGGAAATACTTTTGTATCTATACATATTGAAGCTTATACCAATATAAACTGCTATTCCTAATAAAGTCAAATCATTTAACAGGATCCCTCTCTGAACCACAAAGCCTATAGGGATGCATTCAAGAAAATGAAGTCCCCAAAGATCCCTTTCATGCCTTTACTCCTCAAAGGTAAATTTAAGCATGCCTGCAATCCTAAACTTAGAGGCTTTGTCTTGGTCAAATGTAATGGGTTTTAATAAAGTTCAGTAATACTTAGGATTATATTTGTAGGCATTGAAAAGTAAAGTAACTTTTAAGACATACCTCTCTAGGCTGCAATCTTACATAGATCTATTAGCCTGGAGTCCCCCAATCTTTCTGCTTTTTTTGCAGATAGCCGGAGTGGTGGGTTGGAGGTGGAGGGGTTTTCTGCGCAAGCAGCCAGCAAGCAGCCTGGTTCCAAATAGGTTGTGGCCCAAGAGTTGGGGACCCCTGTACTAGCCAGGAAAGCTGACAAAATAATTGGGCTTTATTTCTAAGTAAATATGTACATGCTTAGGTTGTAACTATGGTATATGCATTTATTTTGTGTCAGGTTTAATTTCAAATTTGGTCTTCTTGAATAATTGGAGGAAGATCTCCTTTTGAATCCTACAGAGGATTCAAATTTATTGATTTATAGTAAAATGTGTTCCTGTTTCCCTGATTTGTTTTACCAATAATATTAAATTTTAAAATTGAACCACTTTTTTAGATTATTAGTTCTGTAGTACATCATTTAAATTAATTGAATTTCTACAACAAAATCACAATTAATTGCTTTTTAACTCTAGTTTGTTTATCTTGCTCTTACAATGCAGCTCAGAGGCAGTTATCTGCTCCACAGGATTTGTTTCTGCTTGTAATTGTTGGCAACAATGCAGATTTCTTATTTCAACCTTTCTTTCCAAGGCTTTCAGTTATATCTTGATTTGAACATTATTAAGAAAAAAGCTGTTAAAACTTTCATTATTACATTGACAGTAACACAATCGCTAATGAAACGGTATACATATCATAGAATATTATAATACAATATAAGTTCCAGGAGAGAAAAAATGCCAATTATTGTGGAAAAGGAGACAGATGGGTGGCATTTGAGAGAAGAAAAGCTATTAAGGGAAATCAACATAATAATTAAAGGGATTGTTATATTTAAATGTTATTACATTAACATTTTTAAAATTAAAAATTGTTTTTGTCTCAGTCATACCTATCACTTTTAGAGAAAGAGCCTTTAGACTATTATTTGAAGTTCAGATGTAACCCTCAACTCACTAAAGTTGTTTTTATAGATGGATATGGCACGAAGATGTCTTCCTCCCCCTGCCAGCCATTTAAATTAAAATTGCAGGAAGAAAATTACTTAGGTTGCCCTTAGTCAGTGCAAAAGTTAAAGAGAAATCTATTCAATCAAAAGTTGAACAGAAATAAAATTTTCTACCCCCTTCACCAGAAGGTTCTGAAGTAGTAACCACTATTTAAACAGCACATCTACATTGCAATAATATTAGAATGAACAACTGTGAAGTGCAGTTGCATTGTATTATTTTCCACAAATCCATTTCATGCTACGTTAATCTAATTTATGTTTTAGAAGGCTGCTGTTTTAATTTTCCTAACCTAAGCATTTTATTGAGCTTCTTCCCTTTGGTTTTGAAAAAAACCAACAAGATACACTATAAATTCCGTCCAGTTAATCTGCTTCCTCCCCCCCCACATTCCATTTGAGAGATGGGTATAGGGATCTTTAGCTTAAAGAATTAGAGAAAATGATGTTTCTTTGGGATATCAAGCAGACAGTCACCTCCCTAACTTAATTGTGCTGAGCTTTTGGTATGAGAATAAAATCTGAATGAAAGTTATGCCTAAGGTGAACTACCATGAATCGGACTGGGTGGTGGTATAAACGAAGAAGGAATATTGATAGTTGTGGTTGTGCTGAGTCTATTGACAATGGGGAATACAAAATTTGGTGCCTCCAATCACCAGGTAACAGGAGAAGCGTAACCAATAGGAACTAGAGACTGATGCACATTAGATATATTTCCAGAAAATTACCTTATCCATATATAATGATTTCAAATATTTCACTTAGAAGTCCAAAAATTGAACAGTTTGGAGTATTTTTTATCACAAGTAAATTTTCTGAATACTTACTTATGCATGAAACTGTAACAATTACCATTGTCTTTTGTTATTGTTACTATGTGGACATGGAAAGTTAAGTTGAAAAATATATAATTGTCTCTTTTTAGATGTAACATTTATACATGAAGGAAACAAAACATTTCTGGATAATCTTGTAAATTTTGAAAAGCTGGTATGTATCATTCCCCACTAATTCCAACATAATAAAAAGTCAAACTTCCGTTTCTTAGTATTGTACATCCTCCTTTCTTCTTAGTCTTATTTCTTCAAATTAAAGTTGAATTTAATTCTCTTTGCTTCAGCTTTCCATTGAGTATTCTCCCCCGTGAAGTAATTAACTTGATATTCAAGCTTAGTTAATATTTTATATTCTAAATTTCACACATTGTTAATTAATTACCATATTTATTCCTAATTATCTGCTTCCTTCCATACTCAAAATAAAATACCTAGACATCACCATTAATTTTAGTTCTCTGTTTTGCATGGGTTTGTTCTTCTCTTGAAGAAATATTCATATTTTTATTGGTTGGAGTAAATGTTTATAACAGGGATTATTAGATTATTATACTGTATATAAATAGAAAGCACACATTTGAAGAAGTAAAAACATCTGCATAATTAACATTTCTACCAAACCAATAATTATGGTTATGTTAGCCTATGTTAATGTAGGAAAATATTATTGTTATATTTTTAGGAAGTTAGGCATTTTGGGCTGTTTATTCTATATGCTCCCATATGGCTAATTTGTAGACCTATCTGTTCATTGCTCTATAAATTTGGCCTACGTTGATTAAGAGATTGCAGCTATGATTGAATAATAACTTTAAAAATATATATATTTTCCAAGAATAAATCAGTGAATATTAATGGAGATATCAGCCAGACATCTGATCATGCATGTGTATTTTTTCTTTCTTTGATAACATATATTTGTGATCTACCTAGGAAAAAATGGCATAGGACTCATTCTTTTAAATTTTAAATTTAAATTTTATTTTATTTTTTAAAAACTATTAAATCCCAAGGCCTGCAGTTCCCAGATATATTGGGTAGAATTATTTCACGACTTCTTCAATTTCTGATGCCATATTTCCTGCTTTTTGCTAGCTAAAATATTTTCTGTTCACATTAATTACTATTCTGCTTTTGGAAGGAATGGAAGTTGGAGGGTTTTTGGAAAAATAAAACAAACTTTGGATGCCTGCTCAGCCACCTCTTCCCACAAATATGATAAGGCAGAATTCAAATGGTATCCTATAGCCCCTGTAATAAAACCTGCAACCATGAGTTAATGTTTGAAATAATCTGTATAAGGATTACTGGAGCAAATACAATCCAGATTTCCATTTTATGGCGGATCCCCTCCTTCCCTCATAATTTGGAGCTTGTACATGCTGGTCATTCCCATATTTATTGGCTCATTAATCTGTGTATTTTATCTTCACAGCACATGATTGCAGACACAGTCCGATCATTGAGGCATTGTAGGCGTAACCAATTTGGTAAGTGAATGATATTTTGAGAGATTCCCCTATCTCTCCCCCATACATCTATCTTAAACACTTGGGAATCAGAGCCTACCTCTCTCTGTTTTTGTTTTTACATACTAAAGCAGGAATACTTCATTTAGCCCTAATGACTCTCCTTTTTTATTGGTATCTTCTTCTTGTGCCATATCTGTCATCAGACATTGCCTATTAGGCTGGCAATACTATTTTTAACAACAGCTGCACATATTTTATTGGTATGCCTGTAGCTACACCCTTAAGATTAATAGATGAATTATAAGAACTTTTGGTTTTATTTAAATTACACTTAAAAAGAAATAATATGATTGTCTCTAGTTATATATTAATAATTATTTCTGTCATATTAATATGACAAATTAATAATCCATTTTGGAGTTTAAACTTCAATTTCCAATATCCTTTAGCAGCTAATACCAACATATTCCAAGTACCAATATGGCTGATGAGCATTAAATTAATAACATCTGGTGTCTCACTTTTTTTACAAATCAACATACATACACCAAATACATGCAAATCATGGAAGAAAACAAATGTCAAGAAATGAAATTCACATAAATAGTTGTTAGTATTTTTAATTTGCTCAAAATCATTTCCACATCTTGAGTGTTTTATCTAGTACATGAACCAGCATACAATGAAAAGATTGGAAGAACAGCTTTTTCAATATAATCTTTATAGATTTTTTGGGCTGCAGTTTTATCTCGGTTAATGGTGAAAAGTTTGTTCATGTTTGTGCAGTCTTCACATACTGAATAATGTAATGACAGGCCTACTTTATATTCTTCATTAATGGAGAAGTCACACAGAGCATTCATAGATCACTATGAAATTAGAAATCATTAGAAAATTTCCATTATTTTCTAGAAATAAAAATGTGAAGTTCAGGAGTTCCTTAAGGCAAATTGTTGATTAAACTTCAAAGTATGCTGCAGGGTGACTGATCTATTATTTTTCTCTTGACAAAACTGTAGGAAATGATATACCCTCCAAAGAGCACGAAGAGCTGAAGCCCTATGTCCATTATTTGCATATCATTGACAACCAGCAGATGTTGTTTGAGCTTTCTCACAGGATAGAACCTCGTACATGAATTCATACTTACATAATTCCAGCACTTTCAGTACAGTGAATATTTATGTGCCAAACATGTTGTTTTCCTAAGAAATTGATGATTACTGAGTTTTATCAGTAATTGGTGCCACACTACACATTGGCCTTTCATGCAAAGCAAGAGGAAATGATCTTCACAACAAACTTCCAAGATGAAAAGTGCCAAATCTACTTAGCTACAGAGTGAAGAAATGATTCACCATATTGAAAACCTTATTTTCTTTGAACACTTTTGTTCAAAACAGCTTTCAGTCCCAACTCAGTGTAAATTGAAATAAAATGTTCTATCCTTATAAGGGTCTAGCAGCACTGTTTTGAGGAAGATGTTGATAATTTGGCACATGGGGATATACCTCACTAATCATAAGCTGCCCTAAGTATTTATTCTGGTGCCAAAAAGAAAGTATAGGGCAGTATTGATGAATCATCCCCAAGATATGTGCTGGCATCCACTTTATGATTAAAGCATAAAGAAAGACAAATTGTTAGAATATAGATACCTAACAGAATTTAAAATGTAAGCACAGTTAATACTTTAACATCTTGTACAGTATTTCAAAATGTGCTGTCTAATAAAGCAAAATTCACAAGCATCAATTATGGTAATCTATTATGTGCTTTCATGCTGGATTAGAATTTAGAGCACTCTGCCTTTAATATTTCTTGTGGGTAATGCTTTTTAAACTTTAGAACCACCTAAGTGTTTGGTCCTTTTCTTAGTATTTCTATTAGAGGCAAGCAGTGTCACGAAAGTGTTGTGCCTATAGCTTTATTACAAACAAATATAGTTTATTTTATTCTATGTTCACTTCACTGTGCTATTACTAATTACTGTTATCTTCACATTGGTGCACGTTGATTGCAGAACAGTACTAAATTGATAAGAAAGAACCTGTCATACTGTGGGATTGTTGCTTGCAACTTGGAAAACTACAGTGGAATCTCCAGAATTACTTTTTTTAAAAAGAAGAAAGTAAAAGTGCTATGGCATACTTACTGACATTATTAACATTTAAAGTAATAATTTATAGCTATTAAATCTGATCTTATCAGTCATAAACATAATTTACAAACAAAAATGAAAAAAGTTCATACAATGTATTAAGCCAAATTCATGAATCTGACCATAGACGAATTATACTTTGAGAAACAGACATATTGTTGTTTTTTCCTTACAAGGTTAAAAGCTGGGGTTGAATTCCAATATACAGGATGAGGAGGACTCTGTCATAAGAGAACTTGCATTGGAAATGAATGGAAGATTTTCAAAGTGTGTCTGAGAAAAAAAAATCTTAGCATTTTTTCTTTAAGATGCAATTACAAAAGAGAAAAGGTGAAGACTTGTGGGTTTCATACTGACAGCAGATTTTCATTCATGTTGCTGTAAAGACAAGTTATGCCATCAAAGTCACAGCCTAACGCAGCACAGAAAACTAAACTGATATGAGTAACACTTTCTAGCAACTTGTATGACATTTTAATTAGCATACTATTTTAATTAGAATATTCATTCTGGATTCATAGTAATCTATGATTAAAAAAAGGTTTTCTGAAGAGAAAGATTTAAAACCTATAACAAATTTGTGAGAGAATCACAGATTTGTTGCAATGTATTTGAATGTAATTTGAACATGTGACTTAAAAGTGGCAGCTTTGGTGTAATATTTCTTGCGCCTCAGTTTTCATGTTGAGATATCAAAACTACGCTTACATTCTTGAAATCATGTTTGCAATTTGTTCCTATCTTCAGAATGTCTTCTTTATTCTTCTATTAAGTATTCTCAAAAAATTGCCTAAAGAATGCAGTAAATAGAATGTATTCCACTGTGCATAAAGGAATGCTATATGCAGCTTTATACAAAATAGACATCCACAGGGTGATACTAGTTGACAATAGAGGCTATGTTAAAAATTAGACCTCCCTTTTGGAAACACCTGAATTGTTTTCTTTGTTGTACTGCTTGCAACATTTATTCAAGAACTTTTTCTACAAAAGATTCTTCATAGAAAATTGACAGACAAAATCAGTTTTAAGTGATAAGGAATGCTTTTTGTTTGCAATGAAGTAAGAGTTTTTCCATTAGATTTGACCTGTCTCAAAAAATTGAAAACCATGTACAGGTATAGTATATAAACAATGTACATTTCTGAACTTAATATACTAGTTATTCAATGTCTTCTAGGAATTATTTGATAGAAATCATCACAATATTTCCTTAGATAGTTGAACAAATTAGAAACAGCATAGATAAATTATTTAGGAAATTTCACTATGTTTTTCTTATAGCAACTTAGCTGAAGAAGCAGTATGTTTGTTAGCTGAAGAGCAACTGTTTGGTTCAGGAGTAGGAATTGTAGTAAAAATATGTTATAAGCTTTATTTTTATTCACACACAAAAATAGCATTTGCAGTGGGAGAAGTCCCATCTGTTGTAAATAAGCTTTCTATGCGCACAAATAAACTACACCTTTAGAAATGAAATTGAACATTTTGAAAAAAGGCATTGCAATTTGGCTTGCTTCATAACGCCACTGAAGGTTATATTTGAAGGGAAGAATTCAAGCTTTTGTTCAGTCCATGTATTAGGATGAGCCTCTGTTAAGTGGTTGAGTTTAAACTATTCTTATCAAATAAGAATTCTACATTTGTAGTTCTAGAATAAATTAACTGGAAAAGGTGAGATTTGCAGGGAAGGATTAGTAGATTAAAAACTAATAATGTATAACACGAAGTGGCTGGTTCTTATTTCTAAATATTGTCTTGCCTTTATATATCCATTAACAGCTTCATATAATTGCAGTCTTAAGACACCAAAAGATTTATAGAAATTCGAATCTGGCTTTTCTATTTTGCTACCATTCTGAAACCTGTTACTACTTTTAATGAGCAAGCTTAATGTTTAGTGAAGTAAAGCAAAAACTGGATAATTTTCAAACCTCATGAGCTGGACTATCTGGTGCCAGATGTTGTAAGCAGCATTACTTGAGTTCTTCATTTCAGTGGTCTCTTAGTCATTATTTAGCTAAAGGGACTATTCGGAATTATGAGCCAAATATTTCCTAAAAATAAGCTATGGTTATAACTTGGGTCTCATTTTACCTATGCAAGAGTATATAGCAGTTGACTGGACTTTAGATAATTTAAGATATATTAAAACAAGGGAAAACAAATATATTGATTTAGGGCAATAATGTATTACCTGCTAAGCAGTTTTGTATTTGTTACTTTAGAGCTAAATAACTAGATAATTGCATTTCTGTGGAAGTGCATTCTGACTGTAGATTGTAAAAATGAACAATTTTCTCTCCAAGGTTATGTTCAGGGGAAAAAAAGAACACAATTTGCCACAATTTGGGGAGTCTGAAGCCAGATTTGTAGTGTATAATCTCCATTTTATCCTACTTCTGATACATTCATGTAACTATCTCTTGAAAGGAGGCCAACTTTAAGACAACGACTGAGTCAGCCTTAAGATCATTAAGATATACTTTTGTCTAACAAAGAAACAGTCCCTGCATTGAGTCTTTTGTGTACACTCCAAGTCTTGCTGGCTTCAGAAGATTATTGGAATCAAAATTATACAATTGTTTTTTATGCTTCACAGTAATTCCCACTGAACACGATAGGACTTGTTCCTCATTAAACGTGCATAGGATTGCAATATAATTTGGAATAACCCTTGGTCCTCAAACTACTGTAAGAGCTATACGCCCCCATAAGAGGAGTACAAATAACAATTAAAAAGGTGGGGGGGTGATCAACCCTAGAAATATCTATACAAACAAAAAAGCACTGTTGCAGAATAGTGTAAGACCATTTGGAGTGTATTGGGCGCTATAAATGAACATTTGCATGGCTGTAAAAAAGCAAACAAGTTGTAAATATTAACCTTTGTAGCAATTACTATTTATTTGCATAGCCTATTTATTATGTTCTTTTTACATTGGTAGGAACAAAGGCACTCTCAAGATAAAAAGAAAAAGTTTCTTACTTCTCTGCTGCACAGATTTGGATAATTGGGATGGCACTATAAGATAAAACTGCTGCTTCAAGCAATTGCTTGTATTTTTGCAGCCCTGATATGGTTGGTTTCATTTTTCCCATTTTAGTCTCTCCAGACCATTATTTTTCAATCTTTGTTAAAAGTAACAGAAAGATTGTCCAAGCTAAGGTTATTTGCCTAACGTCTCAGGGACATACTTGTACTTATCGAGCATTATTGGCATTTATAAAATACTCTGATTTAACAAGAATACAGTTGACAATGGAGTCCTTGACATGTTCAATTATTTTGATTTCTGTATATATCATTGTTTAACATATTAATGGGAGCTAGCAAGCAATAATTTGTATGTCAGAATAATAACAAGCAATACAAAGGTAAAACTTGTAAAAGCAAAAATGTTAAAACCTTTTTGATATGCTTTTCAAAATACAAATGATATTAATAAATTATGTCTCCGTGAGTCTTTACTGAACTTGTCTACCATAAACAGATGTTTCAGAGTGTGTGCTTGAGCTATCTTATATCTAATTTAAATCATGATGTCCTTGGGTGCCTTTGGACAACACATTGCTCTTCAGTTTTACCCTACCCAGCTTCCGACAGTATGGAGGAAGAGGTCTGCAGTATAATCCATAGCATATTATTCAATTACAGCCTTATAAAACCCTCTATATTTTGTAAGTTAATTGTCAAGAGCACATTATAGACTTAAATTAATTGGCATCTAATCATACAAGCAATGAGATAATTCTTTGTTCATTCAACAAATACACAGGAAAGTCTTTGTACATTATAGTCTAACCTGATGCTTGTTAATGAACAAAATAATTGACAAGGAAATTTGCTCTCCTTGGGGAGTAAATAATATAAACTGAAAATTTCCAAATATTAATAATTAAAGGAATTGGGCAGAAACTGTGAAAGACTTATCTCTGACACCTTAGAATTAGCAGGACGTGCTGGAGGGACCAGTAAGGCAGCTTTTACATTTCAGGTAATATGATCCAAGTAAAATTTCTTGCATTGACATGGGGGTGGGGTGGGGTGATTGATCAGATATGTTTCTGATGTTCCTACAGTACATGCAGTTTCCTTCAAGTACAGCCTAACTGATGTCAGTAGGCTTATCCAGGTTAATTTCTTGGCAATGATTTGCCTTTATTTTCTAGAATGTTTGTTCAACTTGCCTGTTAATTTATAGTACTGTGATTTCATGTGGCTCCGTTGAAATATTGAATTTGTTGGACTATACTTAGCATTTACTCTGGCAAATTTCACTTTCATGAATGATGCAACTTAATTCCGCTATTTCAGGTCACTCACATTTACCAACTATTACTCTCTTCCCTTCATTTCAAAAATGCTTTCCTCCACTTCAGCTGCCTTAGCATCTAATTATTGTGAATAGGAATACAGGGGAAATTTCCTGGTTGCAAAAAATAGAATAATAATGTTTCTCAACTTTGGAATGTTCTCCTCATAATGACCATTCAATCAAAAAAGCACAGCAGGCTTGTAAAAATATAGAATGGGGGCAGGGGGGACATCAGTAGAGAGAAAGGAACACACACTGAACATTGAGTGAATGGAATTTTTGTACATCTGGATCAGTGGTGGAATTCAACAAATTTTACTACCGGTTCTATGAATGTGGCTTGGTGGGCATGGCAGGGAAGGATACTGCAAAATCCTCATTCTCTCCACACCCCACTAACCTGCTTTCCAGCTCTGTTCTCCTGTGCAGGACAACAAAAGAAGACTCAGCCAATCAGCTGGGAATCGGAAGGCAAATAATAGATGGGGCAGTACCAGTCAGAGGTGGTATTTGCTAGTTCTTTGAATTGGTCAGAACCTGCTGAATACCACCTCTGATCTGGATGCAGTCACAGGTTGGGTCATGACACCTTGCTTAGAGTTCACAAGAAGGTACATAGTCATAGGACAAACTTCTTGGTAAGAAATTAATGAAAAGTGTTGTGAAAATATTCAAATGTGTTCCAATGGGCCTCATTCTTTTTGATACATCATTTGTACTACCAGATTATAATATATCACGAAAGGAGGAAGTTAATACCACAAATTATATTAAAGCACATAGAAGATTTTTAATTGTCAGTTGGTTACAATTATAGGAGCTATTTTTGCCGAAGTCTGCCAGATGGTTGAACAACTTGTAGATGGCCTGTTTATAATTATCACTGGGTAATCATGCTGCAGCTCTAAGAATAATTTGCTGAAATAATTACCAACTGTTTCATAGCTACACATGAACTCTTTTGGACCATTTAGGCCTACATGTTAGTTTTCAAGGATTTGATACTGATCCTGAGCACCAGGATTTAGTTAAATTAGACTATATGTTTCTTACAATCAAGGTGAATAAGATGATACGCAAGAATTTTAAAATAAACATTCAAATATAAAGGCTGGACTGGATTCTGGCTACCATTCTGGGTTTGATTTGAAATTTTTTATCTTGTAATTTCAATGTGTTAAATGCATTTTCCTAAAGTCCTGCGACCATGTGTGTGTAAGAGGAGTGTCAGCAGTTTAAAATGGAACAGAGCAGCTTCAGAAAGGATGATTTAAAGCAGGAGATTAACAAGGGAAGCGACTACTCATTCTTCAAGACCACATAGCCTAAATCTAAATTAGCAAATTACACTACCTTTTAATGAAGTGGGAAAACCTTCTGAAATTTTCCCTAAACAATGATAGCTTAATTTTGGGTTACTAGACTGGGAGGAAGAAGACAGAGGACCTACTATAAAATGGAGGAGCCCATGATATGTATTTCTACTGCATTGGGCTTTTTAAAAAAATGTTTTCTTTTGTAGCCCTTGGTCTCATGATCCGCTCCATTATTGCCAAGTTTCTCCCAGCACCCGTCATACTTGTTCCATGTTCCACACTTTCAAAGACAACGTCCTTCCTCGTTTGATATCATTCCTTTCCAGCATTCTTTGATGTCAAAAAATAAAATAAAAGGAAAGCTTGTGAGGATCCTATTGTATACAGGTAATCCTTGACTTACAAGCACAATTGAACCCAAAATTGTTGTCGCCAAGCAAGACAATTGTTAAGTGAATTTTCTCCATTTTATGACCTTTCTTGTCACAGTTGTTAAGTGAATCATTGCAGTTATTAAGTTAGTAACACAGTTGTTAAGTGAATTGAGCTCCCCCCATCGACTTTGCTTGGCAGAAGCTTATAAAAGGTGATCACATGACCCGGGGACATCATAAATAGGAGTTGCCAAGCAACTGAATTTTGATCACATGACTGGGAGGATGCTACAATGATCATAAGTGTTAAAAAATGGTCATAAGTCATTTTGTTTAGTGCCATTGTAACTTTAATTGGTCACTAAATGATCTGTTGTAAATTGGTGACTACTTGTATCTTACGTGTCTCGTTATATTTTAATCAGCATAAGATTTTGTGCAGGAATCTCTTCTGGTAGGTAGGTAAAATGCAATTGAAAGAAAATGAAAGCCACCTGGTGATCTTAGGCTGGCATTCTCTCTCAGCCCAACACACCTCACAAGGTTCTTGTTGTAGGGGGGAAAAAAAGATGAGGAAGGAATATGAGAAATGTTAAGAAACAGAAATAGAGATTAGGTTGTTTACCCCTTGAGTGACTTTTGAAAGCTGACCATCCTACATTTGGAGCTTTAAAGAGCAGGTGGAAAGACTGACTATAACAAGAATTAAAAAATAATTTTATTTCTTTATTAGGCTCAGCCTTTGCATCCTGGGTGTTTTCAGACAGAATAACCTTCCCTGGGATTTCCAGCTGCTTCCTATTTTTCTCCAGGTGTGTTTGCTTGCTGAAAGATTGAGAAGGAGCAGTAATTCAACACAATGGAGCGTGATGGCCTTTGCTCCCTATATAAAAAGACAGGGGTAAAACTACCCTCCCCGCTCACTCAAGCTTCAACTGGAGAGTTCTCTTTGTCCAAGATATTTTCTAATGCTATTTTTCTTGCCTGAACACCTTCCTATTATGCTGCACAGTTACAGACACGAGCGACCTCTAGTGTCTGAAAGCAAAATCTTCACATGACTACTTTAATGATATCAATTCCTGGGAAGAGCATATTCTGTGGTCTTCAATAAGTGAAATGGGCCTGCTCTGATTTGTCTGACTAAGGAAGTGGAGTGGCGATGCAGGAAGACCATTATCATTGTGAGGAGTTAGTGATATACTTTGATTTCTCCTTCATATTAAGGAAAGTTTATAAGTTCAAAGCTAAACCTGAGCTAGCCTCCTTGTTTTCCTTGCTGAACAAAGGAAAAGGGATGAGTTTATCTTCACATAGCTTCAAAGTTGCAAAGTTTCAAACCCTCAATTCCCATCCCAGGGTCATTTGCTAGCCAGTCAAGGTCAGGTCTTCCTGCAGGACTGTCAAACATGCGGTCCGTGGCCCAAATGCATCGTGTGCTAGCTATACCCTCGCCCGGTTTAGTGACGGGGGAAAAAGTCACAGTTTTTCGTGTGATGCTGCCATGACAACGTGAGTTTGATACTCCTCTCTTACAGTCTCCCAACCATAGCAAAGCCATGAAGTCATAGCGTCAGGTTTTGATAAAAACCTTAAGAATTGTATGGTTTATGGCAAGCTTCTGCACAGAACTTGGCATTAGGTACTGTGGAAATTGACTGCCAGTGAGGTATTTTTGCGCTTATTAAGGAGTCCTGCCATTTTGCTTGCTATGTATGCTTTTTATATTATGCTTTTAACTCTTTTTTGATGAGCTGATAATAAAGCTTAAAATCCCTTTATTTACTGGTGTGATTATTATTGCTGGATCTAAAATAACCAATTGCCTAGTTACCTGATTGTTGCCCTGATACCT